AACGGATCCCATCTGTGATTGGCTGGAATTGGCTCATTCACGCACAGAAAGCAGAAACAAACCAGAGCAAAGTGCGTAAAATGTGGAAAATTATTGTTCCCTTTATTTTTTTTGCTGACTGCCATTAGCTAAACAAATCATAAATAACTGTGAAATTATAGACAAAAACGCACACGCAGCGAAAAAAAAGGAAAAGCAAAGAGTTTTCCAGTGCTCACATGATCTGGAAATTGCCGCAGATGGGGGTCTTCCACGCGTTCACTTCGTTTTCCCGACTTTCCATGCCCCTCTCTTCTCTAGATACATATGTATCTTTACTTTTGTATATCTGCAAATTGCTTAATTTATCAACCAAATGCGCAACAACAAAGCAGCAGCCGCCCGCATTCCAGTTGCCTTTGCTTGGCATTTTAATTATTCCAATTGTCTGGGGCTGGGGTTCTCTTTGTTTACACCACTGGAAGGGGGGATCGCTTAATTTATTCGCCAGCGTGTTTTGGCTATTTTTAGAGCAATTTATTTACTCGGTGGTGTGTTTTTTTGCAAACTACAAATGTTTTTGCCTCATTAAGCCAATTGCATTGCCTACTTAAATGGGCAAACGAGTCATTAGTTGTGTAAAAAAGTGTGTCCAAAATGCGCTAAGCAACTTAATTATTTGGCCAAAAAGTCAAAAGAAAAAAACATTTAATTAAGGCACAACAAAAACATGCGTCACTTAGGGGGAGAGAGAGAGAGCGCCCGAACACACCCACAACAAGCTGTGCAAACTTGTATCTGTGTGAGCAGTTCATTCATGAGCAGCAAAGCAAACAACAAAAGCAATTTCCAGCAGCCGGTGTCAGGCAAATAGGCAAAAGCAAAAGCAATAACAATAATAACAACAAAGAGCAATGTACGAAGCAGCCACAAAAAAATAAAAATAACAACAAAAGGCATTCTCATTCCCATTGAAAATGAGTAAGCAGCGCACACACTTACATAGTCGAGTTCGAATTTCGAAATCCAGTTTTTGTTGCCTCCCCTAAACTGTTAAACCAGCTGTTGGCCCCAAGATCACTCTCTCTTGAATAAGTAGATTATACTAAACTTGTTTTGTTTTTGCTTTAAATTCTATAAAACAATAATAAACTAAACTTACTAAATTTCTTTACGAAATTAACGAACGACAAAGATAGATGTTTAATTAAATCTCCTCTCTCATTCAGTTCTCTCCCTCTCTGTCAGTAACATACAACGATTAACATTTCTGTTAATAGAATCTCGAATCTTAACAGCACTGTTGGCTAAACCTCGACAACTTCACAGATACTTTTGCGTTTGAATCGACGGGTTGGCGGCTCTCCGCGCGGTTTCCATTTTCCGAAAGATACAAGTACTTCCAAGTGAAATAAAGCAATTACATAAAGTGCAAAGAGTGAAGTGCGGAGCTGAGTAGTGAATTCCAGTGCGAAAGTTAAGCCAAAGCCAGTTGACAAAAGCGTCACGTTTTCGCTTCTTGCCATTGCCTTGCCCACGCACTCACACAAACACACCTGGAATACCACAAAATAAAAACGAAAACGAAATTAAAACTTAAAAAGCCGCAAAAAACATAAGAAATCGAGAGAGAATCCGAAGGTTTGTTCTGCCAGACCCACGGGTTTATCAGCGCTTATGGTTAGTTTATCATTTGCATTTCTAATGAGACTCGCTGTCTCTATCTTCTCCTCTCTCCTCGCATGAACCAGCACCCCCAAGCCGTCTACTTTCCGCTTTATTTTGAATCGCAGGCCTCTGGCTAGATAAGATTCGTTTTCATTGTTGCCTCTATAAGGAATGTGCAGTACACTCATGCCCACAATAGGTGTCAAAAATATATTACTACAATCATTCAATTTCTTTGTGCTTCTATTAAATCTATAATTCAGCAAATTTTTTAAATTTCCGTATCCACTTACTTAAGGAATCCTATAAAAAATTGTGTTTCAAGAGGAAAAGTTTTAAAAGGCAGGAAAATAAATCTCAAAAATATTTTAAATAAAAATAGTTAATTAACCTTTTTTACTTACAATAATAATAGTGATTTAAAAAGTATAGATCTATAAGAAAGTAGATTACTTAAAATTAAATTGAATTGTTATGGGATACCGCAGTGTCCATATGCTCCGTTTAAGGCGTAGATCCATACAATTCGCCATTTATTAATGACATCTGGTCGCTCCATTAATTTCACCGCAGCTGTATGCGTACGAAAAACACATGCATTCAAAAATATAAGGGCTGGTATGATTTGTCATAAATTCTCTGAATTTCTGGCACACTTCGACGAACTCTAGACAGAGATAAATATTTGAGTGTTGAGTCTTTGAATGGGACCCCCGAAACTGCCTTCGTCATACATATTTGATATCATATTTGCCCGCCCTGTTTATCGCCTGAAATGTGTTTCCCAAGAAACAGATATGCGTGATATTTGCCCGAAACATCTGCGGAGGGTGCGACACACGGGTGGGTACACCGAACGGGACTACGTGATATTCTCAAGTGTCTGGGCACCAGATTACGGCCGATATCGCCAAGTCGCCACGAAACCCTTCGATGGATCTCGATTTTCCATCATGTCCAGCAGACCGTTGCGGTTCCATCGGCTCCGGACTCCAATTACCGCAGGCCTGCTAATTAAGTGCCACCCCAGAAGGCGGCAGGTTGCAGATCGGGATTGGGTTTGGGATCGGGATCGGGTTGTGCATATAGAAAAAAGAGTGGTAACCCGAGCCGAAACCCATTGCGGATAATTCACTCGTGGGACTTTGTTTGTCTTCTGCTCTCCGCCGCCTCGAAATGCAAACTCAGCTCAATGACTTGGCACTCGGTTTGGTTCGGTTGGAGAGCGAGCGATGGAGATGAAGCCAAACCAGAGAGTTAAGCCGAGTCTATAAGAACACTGGGAGAAAATTACAGCAATTTCATATATTTCTAAATGCAAAATATATCTTTTAGAACTATTATTAAATCTTAAAACTTTGACTCTATATATTTTTTATTAAGCAACAAACCATTTAAACTAAAGTTTCTAGGAAAAAGATTCTTAGAAGGAAGTAAGATAACAATAATTCGGCATAAGGAATTATGAACAACATTCATAAAGTTTTAATAATATCATAAACAAATATTGTTAAGTTGTAAATTATAATGACTGCAGAGTAATTATTCAAATTGCCGGTTTTTCCCAGTGTCCAATGATGAGTTTAATATGTGAAGACATATAGAAAGAGAGGGGTTGCCATGTAAATGGGAATGTTGATGTGAACGTACCCACCATGGCGGCACCGGAAAATGTCCAAGTCAGTGTCCACTGAAGCGGAGAAATATGCTCCGCCCCGCCCTCTCTTTTTTTGTCCAGTGAACGGAACGGAATGCAGATTGCTGGTGCTTTTTTTTTCGGTGTATTTTTTTGCTGTGAGATTTCTTAGCCGAACTTAATTGCTGCTCATTCTTGCACGATTCACTCTTACTAAATTCGGTTGCTTTGTCTTTGTCTCGAGTCGATTTCGCACTTGCGGCTCTCGGAGAGTCGACAATCCGCGAACTAGCCGTCATTTATATATTTATTTTAATTATTTTCTTTGGCAAATTGCTCACTTCCTACTTACCGACTGTAGACCCCCGATTCCCCGGCAGTAACCTCCTATTGTTTGGCAATCAGCGTTGATTTATGTTCGCCTCTCTGCTTTTACTCGTTGATTTTGATGAGTGTTTGTCAGCTTGTTTTACGGCGCTTGTTTTGGAGAACTTTTTGGATTTCAGGCCCCATTTCAAGAAACAACAAAGTCAAACCCAAGTGCAGCTTAAGTAGTTTCAAAGTGCTCGTTTTTTTTGTTTGTCTTTTGACCCATATATTTTAATTTGCCTTTCCACAGAGCGATAAGGTTATATCGTACTCTATGAGTATCATAACTTTTGTTTCTTAAGATGATGAAATCGCATTTTGCGGCTTTATATTTTCTTGTACATGAAAATATGAGAATCACTTGACGTCATTAATGCCATTTCATCTCAATCCGCTCAATTGGTAGCGTGTGTCGAACCAATTTATAAATTATATAAACGAACTTGCCCAGCTCAATACAAATTTATTTCTATTAATGGACAAAAACGAATGAAAAGTGCTTTTCCCCCTTTTGGGTTCGAAAAGAGAGTAAGCTAAAACCAACCGGAAATGTTGAAAATTTCTCTTTTATCTATAACAATCAGAGCCAAAGCCGACAAAACAAATGTATTTTTTCAGTTTTTTCTGAATTTTTTTTGAGCTGGGAGTGAGTTATGGTTTCTGCGAAACTTGAGATCTGAATAGAATGATGGGTTTAGGAGTGGAATTCATTAATCTCTCGCCATAAGGGGATGGATGGCGGACAAAAGCTGTCGTTAAACGAAAAGCCGGTGGGAAATGCACAAATACAATGACCAGTTTGCGACTAGAGAGATTCTCTGTTTGTTTGAGCAGCGATTATCGTGGCTCCGAGTGCAGTAAATACATAAATGGCTATGGGGCACCACCATCATCATCATAAGCATAATCATAATCAGCATAGGGGAACTCGCCTCGAAGCAACTAGCATAGAAGCACTCCAGAATGTCTTAACACACAATTCTCGGGGGAAGAAACCAGACCCGCCATGCGTCACACAAACAAATTTATGAGTTAGCTCGGCGGGTTCAAAAGTTTATCGTTCCCGTCTGACCATGATAATGACGGTCTCCTCTGGATGCCCGCAATTTGTAGTTGTGAATGGCCCATGAATGGACGTCTTTTTTGTACTCTATTGCGTACTTGGACTTGCAACAAGATCACTTTAATTGAAACATAGAGGGTTTGTAAGGGAAACCATATTTAGATCGAAGAGAAATCAATGAAAAGAAAATTCTAATTTTTACATTTCAATAATTAGTTTTATAATCTATTATCACTTAAATTTATCACCCGATTTTAATGCAATATCTCTCCTTGATTTTTCCAGAACCGCGCTCTGCCCGCCAATGCCTCGCCCTTCCGCCGAGCCTGGGGACAGTCTTCCTTCCGCACTCCCCGCTCCGACAAGGTGGCCAAGGAGCAGCAGCAGCCGGGCCAGTCGTCGCCAGTGAGACGCACTGCCTCGATGAACGCCTCCGACAACGACATGTACATCAAGACGCTGATGCTGGACTCCTCGGATCTCAAGTCGACGCGCAGTCAGCATCAGTTGAGCCTGCTACAGGTGCCCAAGATCCTGACCACGCCTGCCCCGCCCTCCTCTATCACCGCTTCCGTTGCTCCAGAGGATGCGGCCCAAGAACATGGCTGTCCGAGCAACTGGGGTGGCTCCTTCGAGCGGATGCTGCAGGATGCCGCCGGCATGCAGACCTTTTCCGAGTTCCTCAAGAAGGAGTTCTCGGCGGAGAACATCTACTTCTGGACCGCCTGCGAGCGTTACCGCCTGCTGGAATCCGAGGCGGATCGCGTGGTCCAGGCCCGTGAGATCTTTGGCAAGCATTTGGCCAACAGCAGCAGTGATCCCGTCAACGTGGACTCGCAGGCACGCAGCCTCACCGAGGAGAAGCTGGCCGGTGCCGCGCCGGACATATTTGCGCCGGCCCAGAAGCAGATCTTCAACCTGATGAAGTTCGACAGCTACCAGCGATTCATCCGCTCCGACATGTACAAGAGCTGCGTGGAGGCGGAGCAGAAGAACCAGCCGCTGCCCTACAGCGGCCTGGATCTGGACGAGCTGCTCAAGACAAATTTTCACATGGGCGCCTTCTCCAAGGTGAGTGTTTCATGCCTATCTATCAATGAATTTTTTTGGAATTTTTTGTTTTATATGAATGAATTAATTAGAATTTTGAGTTTAATAGAATTGAATGAATTTGAATTTTGAGTTTAATGGAATTGAATGAATGAATGGCATAAATTCCGAAATAATTCAAACGACAATTTCTTTTGAAGAAGAAAGGCCATAATTTTGTGATTAAATCTGCCTAAATTTTATTTACTAAGCAGTTAACATTGTTTTGTTAAAATTTATCACTTTTTGTTCTCAAAAGAAAGCAGAAAAAAAATTTGGCAAATTCCAAAAATTTATAAAAATTATTCATTCATTCATTCAATTCAAAATGAAATGAAAAAACTGTTTAAACAAAACAGAAATTAAAACAAATATTGAATGATTTACGCAGGGCTCTTATCTGAACTACTAAAATATTAATAACAAACTGCTTCTTTTGACAGCTCAAAAAATCGGCTAGCAATGCGGAGGATCGGCGTCGCAAGAGTCTGCTTCCCTGGCACCGCAAGACGCGGAGCAAGTCCCGTTATCGCACCGAGATAATGGCTGACCTGCAGCATTCGCTGATGCCGGCGCCACCACTTCCGCCACCTGCCCCGCTCACCAGTGCTTCGCTGAAGCTCGTCTCCGGTCAGAATTCCCTGAGCGACATACACAGCTCCAGGTCCTCGTTGTCCTCCTTTGACGCGGCCACCACCGCGACCGGCGGAGGAGGCCAAGGAGCCAGTGCGGAAAGCGTGTGCTCGCTGTGCCGGGTGATCCTCACCGATGGAGCCACTACCATAGTCCAGACGCGTGCTGGAGAAACAGTGGGAGAACTGGTGGAACGACTGCTAGAGAAGCGGAACCTAGTGTATCCCTACTACGACATTGTGTTCCAGGGCAGCACCAAGTCCATCGATGTGCAGCAGCCGTCGCAAATGCTCGCGGGCAAGGAGGTGCTGATCGAGCGGCGGGTGGCCTTCAAGCTGGACCTGCCCGATCCCAAGGTGATATCGGTGAAGAGCAAGCCCAAGAAGCAGCTGCACGAGGTGATTCGGCCCATACTCAGCAAGTACAACTACAAGATGGAGCAGGTGCAGGTGATCATGAGGGACACTCAGGCGCCGCTGGATCTCAACCAGCCGGTGACGATGGCCGATGGCCAGCGACTGCGCATTGTGCTGCTCAATCCGGATTTTCAGGTTGGCGGCGGCAGTAGCATGCCGCCGAAGCAAAGCAAACCGATGAAGCCGCTGCCGCAGGGCCAGCTGGATGAGCTGACGAACAAGGTGTTCAACGAGCTGCTGGCCAGCAAGGCGGATGCGGCGGCCAGTGAGAGGTCGCGACCCGTCGATCTCTGCTCCATGAAGTCCAACGAGGCGCCCTCGGAGGCGTCGTCGTCGTCGCTGTTTGAACGCATGCGGCGCCAGCAGCGCGACGGCGGCGGCAACATTCCGGGTAGCAAGCTGCCCAAGCTCAAGAAGAAGTCCACTACTGGCAGTCAGCAGTCCGAGGAGGCGACTGCCGCGGATCCCAAGAAGCCGATTATAGCCAAACTGAAGGCGGGCGTGAAGCTGCAGGTGACGGAGCGAGTAGCCGAGCACCAAGGTGGGTAACCTTGCCGTGCCTCCGCCAGAGAATAATCAAAACTAACTGATTTCTTGTATGCCATTGCAGATGAACTACTCGAGGGCCTGAAGCGGGCACAGCTGGCAAGGCTGGAGGATCAACGCGGCACCGAGATTAACTTCGATCTGCCCGATTTCCTGAAGAACAAGGAGAATCTCAGCGCGGCAGTCTCGAAGCTGCGCAAGGTGCGCGCCAGTTTGAGTCCTGTGAGCAAGGCGGCGTCCACGCCCACGGAGATTCCGCAGCCGGCGCCACGTCTGTCCATCACACGTGGCCAGCAGACGGTGTCGCCCATGAAGGTGGACCAGGAGCCAGAGACTGAACTGTCCGCCGAGACGCAGGACCCAACGGAATTGGCCAAAGCGCCGCCTCCGCTGCCGCCGAAGCCAAAGGTGCTGCCCATCAAGCCCTCCAACTGGGGCGTGGCCGTGACCCAGCCCACGGGCAACTATTGCAACAAGTTCTCCCCAACCAGCAAACAGGTGCCGACATCGCCTAAAGAAGCCTCGAAACCGGCAGCGTTTGCCAGCAAAATACCACTGGAACTGGGACGAAAGTCCCTCGAGGAGGCGGGCTCGCGGTGTGCTTACCTCGATGAGCCCAGCAGCAGCTTTGTGTGATATGGGTGTGCCCACGCATTCGAAATGGCTTTACTGATCTTGCTTGTATATATATTTTATGTATGCGCCCTATTTATTTATACTGTTTATCCTATTCTCTGTTAAATGTCCAAACAATCCATGACGAACTTTTGTGTGTAATCTACTGAGTGAACGCCTGTATTTATAACTAGCAACATTAGGATTTAGCTTTACTACATTTTGTATAAATATACCACAAACATTTAATATCTCTTATGTGTATTATTTAAATAGAGCGGAAATGGAGTTTAACAGTTTTGAAAATCTTGGTTTCAAGATATGTTTGTTATCGCAGGTCAAGATGGCACGAGTTGAGTATACAACTATGCGGGTTTAATGTATTTTTGAGTTCAATACAAACATATTTGATTTATTGTTAGACTCTCCGGGAGACCATCCCATTCAGACTCACTTATCAGCATCAGTCGTTCGGCAGATGCTCGAGGGAGAGGATGTCTGTGTTCTTGATAGCTCTGTTCGCGTGTCTGCTTTTCCACCAGGACTTAGCCTACCTCCTGGATAGGACATGCGAAGGACATGTAGAGCTCGGCCCAAAAATTACCGCTGGGATAGACGCTCGGTATTACGACACCGCATGGATGGCCAGCTTATACGATGGTAAAAGGGAATTCGTAGGCGGTGGAAGTCTTATCTCTAAGCGTGAGTGAAAGAGAATTCAATATTAAATTCGTATAATCTTTAATAATAATATTTTTAGGCTTCGTTCTAACAGCTGCCCACAGCGGAGCCAAAAACCCACAGTAATTATATAATATATACTATATATACATATAATTGATGATGACTACTTTACCGATTTCCGTTTAGATTCGTGCGTCTTGGGGAAAAGGATAGATCTTGCCAGATATCGATTTGCACGGCTGTTAAAGAGTACACCGTGCAGCGGTTTATCCGTCATCCCAGGTTTGATGAACACTCCTCGAAAATGTTAAATGATATTGCTCTAATTAGACTGACCGATTCAGTGGAATATACTGGTAAGATTTCCTCATTTTCGTTTAACAAATTTTCCTCGGTTTTCCTAATAATTATTATGTGTGCAGATAACATCCGACCGATTTGCATTATCGTAGATGACTCCGTACACTTTCCGGAAGACATGTTTGTTAGAGCTTATGGCTGGGGCTTAACAACGACCACCACAACGGAATTGAGCGATGTAATTAAGACCATCCGCTTAAGGCAAACACGACCGAGCGAATGCTACGATTCCCTTCATGTGAACCTCACCGATAGCCAGTTCTGCGCAGGAGCATTCCTTGGAGGCGATACCTGCAATGGCGATTCCGGTGGCCCCTTGGCGGCGGACTTCGAGTATCAGGGGAAAACAAGCTATGTGCAGATTGGGATCGTAAGCTACGGCTCTACAAAATGTAATACCAAAGGTGTTTACACAAGGGTAGAGAACTACCAGAAGTGGATAGTGGATACGGTGCAGATGTACGAGGAGCGCCTTGTATATCCGGATTGCGGGAGTGAATGGCATGGCGATATTGCTGTCCGTCTCTGGGAGATGACTCTTCTTCAGCGCACTATAATAGGCACTCTGATCAGTGACCGTAAGAACCAACTAAAACTAAAACCCAACTAAGGATCACTACTTATTTTTCTGAATTCCACAGGATTTGTTCTGACTGTTGCTAGTGATTTGCCCACAGATGTGACTAAAATGTAAGCAGCATATCAGTTATTTACTATCAGATCAAATTTAAAGCGATTTTATTTTTTTTCGTTCGTAAAACTAAATTTCTCTTCTTTCAGAACCGTGCGATCAAGATACCATACGGACGAAATTCGTGTCCTTAAGATCGACAAGCACCCCAAATTCTCACCCTCGTCAAAATCAAAAGAGAACAATATAGCTTTGCTTGAACTAGCTCAACCAGTGTTAATCCAAGGTAATATATTTTTATGTTAAATATTGAATATTTTTTACAAAAAGCTATTCTTTTCAGATCTTGTGAAACCAATCTGCCTCACAGTGAACTCAACTCCATTGAAAACTTTAACGGCCCTTCTCTATGCTGATAATAGGCGAATTTTGGGCCTTCAAAGACAACAACTGGCCCGGATCGATAATTCCGTTTGCTCCACAAAAACTGGATTGCCGGTTGAACCAAATCAGTTGTGTGTCGAGAAACCTAGCGGTTATAGGTACGATTTACCTGGTTCAGTATTAGGTACTTATAAGGAGGTTAACGGCGTCAAAAGGTATCTACTGGTTGGCATAATTAGCCATATTAAGAACGGGGTGATCGTCTTCACTAATGTTCAAAGTTTTGAGGACTTTATAAAAGAAAAAGTTGTAGGTGAAAGTATGGCAGTAACCAGCACGTATAATCAGTGGACAAGCCCTAAACTTACATATCGCAATCCGCCAGGATCAAAAAATAACATATAGAATTAATATGATTTTATTACGGTTTTCCAAAACTCTTAGATTCCGAAACATTTACAGGCTCATCTGTCGAAAGACAGAAAATGTAAAATTTTCTCATTTAAGAAAAGTAATAAAAAAGTTGTATTGCACTTCATACCATTTTTATTTGAAAATAGCGTACGAGAATTAAAAGTTGGGAGTTTTTGATCTTTATATCATTAAGGAAATATTCCAGTAGAAAAGATGGCTCAAATTTCTATAACAAATTTTGATGTGAAAATGGTGCAATTTTGATTAAATTTTCAAAGATTTAAAGGAAATTTACCCATTTAAATTCAAATTTACTACTTATAATAAGTGTAGACTTATCTAAGTTTTATGAAGCCGAAGAAAATGAAATTTTTCAAGCTTTTGTTAAGTTCTCGTCCGTTTGTTAAATTTAAAGTAGGGTTAAAACAATGATTTCCCATACGATTTCAAGGTTTTAAACGGCCCTAAATATTGTAAACTAATTTTTCAATAAATTTATGAGTGGATTGTTACGGAATCGTCCAAACCTTCAAAAATAAACTTCAACGCAAAAGTTGAGTTTTCTGACTATGTCCATTACTCTAGTAACAAGCTTCTAAAAGAAAGCCGAAATCTACTGCTAAAAAGGGCAATTATGATGTCAATGGGGGTATCTCTTCCAACGGAAGACGGTTGGTTTAGTACATTGACTTACATCGCCATATGTTATTTGCTTCGGCTTAATTTATCAATAAATTTTGAAATAATGTCGATAGGTGCTGACGACGTTTGATAACTTGCTTTAAAAAAAGTTTAAAATCTCTATTTTAACTATAATAAAATTAAAAAAACTTACTAAATAACAAATGGACAAGAAAATATGTAAATACATTTATACATACCGTTATGCGGAAGTATTGGTTCAAAGTTACATATTTATAACCCATACTCGTATTCGCAATTAACATGTAAAATAAAAACAAATGAAAATATATCTTTTTAAATTATAATCATAAATCATTGGGCTACATTAAGGCGCATCCTTTTGAGCCGCCAGGCGGCCCATAAGAAGTACAATCAAATGGACAGGGAAGGTTTCGCACGGCTCTCGACCGGCGTGGACAGCTGCAGCTGCTCCCTGGGCTGTTCGCTGCCTATCTCCAGTGGTTTGGTTTCCTTTTCTCCTTCGCCAGCACTCAGTTCCTTTGGCGGCTCCTCCTCCACGTCCTCGATGAGGCGATAGGTGATGGGAGCCGGCTGCTTGGCCGGAAGCCAATCGGGGATGATCTTGTCGTGCAGCCGCCACTTGCCGTACTCATTGGAGATGTGCTTCTCAAAGACAACATACTCCAACACGTCCTTGGTGAGGATCTCGCTGCCGTGCATCAGGCGGCCGAAGCGGTCGTAGATGGCCAGCATCTGTTGGCTGTGGAAGCGCACGGTGACCTGGGCGAACTGGTTCTCCTTGGTGATCACCTCGGTGACGCGGGCATGGACGACGCGCGGCGGCTCCAGCGACTGCAGGAACTTCCAGCGAATGGTCTTGTCCTTGACGTTGTGCATCATCTCCGGATAGCACCGTTCGCTGACGAACTCACGGATCTTGTACTTATCCTTGGCGGCCATGTGCGTGTGCGCCTGGATGTAGATTTCCTGGGCCTCGGCGCCGAACTCGTCGCTGCTAAAGCTCTCCTCGTAGGAGCGAATCTTGCGCACGGCCATCAGGCTCTTGGACTTCTTCTCCAGGAACTCAAGCTTCTGTTTGGCGCCCGTCGACGAGATGATCGACTTCTTGCCATCGCCCTCCGGCGGGACATACGCCTCGAAGATGCCGCCGGTGCAACTGATGTGGAACGGACGCTCCATCCAGGGACGCGGCGGCAGAACACCGCGCTCCTTCATCCGGCTGCGCATCTCCTCCTTGCTGATGTCCTCCTGTTTCTCGCGCAGATTGGGCAGATCCATCTTCACGAACTTCTGCTTGCGCAGGCGCTTGAACTCGGGCTGCCAGTGCTTCGTCTGTCGGTGGCGCACCTGCTGCATTTGGATCAGATTCTGGAGCGGATTAACCATTCCACCTGGAATGGTGACCGCCTGCTGCACGCCGGGCACAACCTGGAATTGTCAATGAAAGCGTCGTTACAGGGGACATGTTCGATTGCCCAACTAGTCAGGCACTCACCTGCAACAGTTTGAGACACGTTTTGGCCGACGCAAGCTTCTCCATCGTATTTTAATTATTATTTATTGTTATTTATGTAATTTACTCCACAAAAATCCACCTCCTAAAAGGCACTAACGCGTTCTGCTGGCAAATGTGACATTCGATAACTTCGATGAGGTAAACAAACCGTTATCGATTTAAAAAAAGTCAACTATTTCCGGTTTTTAAATATTTTCCGTTACTTTTTAAAACAAGAGTTTCAAACGTTTTGAATAAAAATCTCACTTTACGGTTGCATGAATGGTTTAATTTGATAAAACTTTAGATTTCGATAAATGGCTGTTGGAAATTTGGAAACAATCTGAACAAAAGGAAAAGTTATCCCGGATTCAGGGCGCTCCGTTTCCCTCCTCCTCATCATCCTCGGCCCCATCGACACAACTCTCGCTGCAATCGGGCGGCAGATCGTCGAGGAAACGGTAGCCGGCGCTCTTGAACATCTTGGCCTTCATCTGGAGGCCGAATGAAAGGCGTTTAGATGGTCCGTCCCAGCAGCTGCGTGCCGATACTCACCATTAGCTGCTGGTACTGGCAGTCGTAGGCGTTGATGGCTATATCCCGCTTCCGCAGCTCGTTGCGCAGCACATCGATCTCCATTTGCTGGCACTGGGCCCGCTGGGCGGCGCACTTGGCAGCCACTAGCTCCTGCTTCATCTGATTGCACCGACACTAAAGGAAGAGATTCATATATTAGTTTAGAAAGACTTATACAGCTCTTGCACCTTTAGTATCTCCTCGTTTCCCTTGGCCTTGTCCACCTCGTTCTCGTAGTAGCTCTGCATGTCCTGCATCTCGCACTGCAACTGCTGCATGCAGTGGCACTGCTGCCGCAGATTCTCCTCCAGGTTGTTCGTCAAGCACTCCGCCTCGTTGGCCTTTTCCTCCAGCTGGTTAACCTTTTCGCCCAGCTCCTCCAGTTCCTTGCACTTTTTGCGCAGGGCATCGCGATCGGCCAGGATCTTTTGGATATTATCGGCATCCTTGTTCGGCGAGAAGCTGCCCTTGCCAGGAGAACCGCCCCTTGAGCCTGCAGGAGCTCCACCTCCACCGCCGCCTCCCTCGGCACCGCACTTCTTAGCACACCGCTTCATCACCTCGTCCTCGAACTCGCGCAGTAGGGCCACCTCCTTGCCCAGATCGTCGATCTTCTTCTGCAGGTACGGAATGTCGGTGCTCTTTTCCGGCTCCACGGGAATGCTGTCCAGCTTGCAGCGCTTCGATTGCTTGTCAATCAGCCGCTTTAGATTGGCATTCTCCGCCTCGAGAATGTCGTGGGCCTTGTTCATGTCGTCGATGGCCGCCTGCAGATCGTTCAGCTCCTTCTCGTCCTGCGGAGTGATCTTGCCGTCGTCGGCCAGCTGCCTGATCTTATTTTTCAGAGCCTTGCTCTTGTCCGGATCGTAGCGCTGGTCCATAATCCGCTTGATCTCGTCACTCTCCTGATTTGCAGTCCTCAGCTTTTCATCGGAGTCGGCCAGTTTCTTCTGCAGCATGTTGTTCTTGATCATCAGATCCTGCATTCGGCCGATGGTGTCGTCGGCGGCATTAATCAGACTGTCGCCCACAACCAAGTTGCTGCCGTACTCATCCTCCGGACCCAAGGGAGTCGTTGTCCTAGGCTTTGGCCTTGCATCGCCGTCACGCTCCTTCTTGATCGGTGAATTGCAGGCCACCAGATCGGCCACAAACTGCGACTTCTTGTCCTCGTTGGCCGACCACGATCTGTCGTCGATGGTGGATGGATAGCTCTTCAGCTTAACGCACGCATCGATGCACTCGAATTCGTATGTCTCGTTGTTGAACGGCACGTGAAAGAACTCCTTTTGCGTGGAGAACGCCATGATTGCGTCTAGAGCTTAAGACCAAAAAAAAAACCAAACTGTGACGCGAATTTACAACTCGAGGCTCGGGTCTGAAAATTAACAACAAAATAATATTCGGGGTCCGACATGTATTGAGTCACAAAAATATCTATTGTTGGACAGATCCAAATTTACAAACAAACAGCTGCCCCAATCAGGGCAGCTGGCAGTTGGAAACCCGCCTGCTTGCCTACAACTAGTTAACAATTCTAAAGTTTAGAATCTAAACTATTCAAGGCCCTGGGCCCTTCGCTCCGCCAGCGTTTCGTCGGCAGAGTTCATGGAAGAGAAGCCACATGGCTGCATAGTCATGCTGGCTGTGCCGGAACTAATCGTGCGCAGGGCACTGGAGTAACCGGAGAGCTCGGCCAAAGGCGCATTCACCAGAATCATCTGAGAAAAAGAGTGTATTAAATTAATAATAATTTTGGGATAAAAGTATTAAGCGCATTCACCTTATTTCTTTCACCCTTTGGCAGCACATCGTTGATCAACGCACGCCGTCGTGAAAGATCGGCCATAATGCCGGAAATGCGTTCGCTGGGTGCCACAATTTGAAGGGCCATGATGGGTTCCAACAGCCGGGTTCCACTGGTGCTCAGTAGCTGTATGATAATAGAGAGTGTTTATAAGCCACCTTAAATATTACAGATTAAACCTCTGTACCTTTTGCACACACTGTGCTGCCGTGGCCATGACAAAGGAATCTGCGGTGCCCCGTCCAATAGTCGCGTTGTGCAGGCGAATCTGCGTCTCCACCACCTGCCCACCAACGCGAGGTCCACGCTCCAGAGCACTAATAGAGCCCTTTCGCAGAACCTGAAGAATTCGCGGTCGCAGAGTGTTGAGGTTTTGCAAGTTCTCCGGTGATTTGTCTAAACTTTAGTGGAAAAACAGACAATCAGATCGGATTTTAAGCCAGAATCTTTCAATTAAGCTTACCTAAACAACTCAGTTTGATTCTTGACCACCTCCAGAGTTATGCTGACATTTTGTTTGCTGCCAGCGATTTCCTTCTCCACACTTAGCGTGTTTATGGCGGGTGAATCGATAGTCTCCTTATAGGCAATCTGCAATGGCCCCAGATCAACGTCGATTTTGTACTCGCTCAGGATGCGCGACTTGATGATGTCCATGTGCAGCTCGCCCATTCCACCGAGCACCGTCTGCCCGGTGACGGAATCGTAGCTAACGCGCAGGCTGGGATCCTCCCGTTGCAGCTGCCTGAGTGCCTGCTCCATGGCGGTTTGCGAGGAAACGCTGGGTGGTTCGATGGCACAGAAGTACACGGCATCAGGTATTTGAGGGTCAATGGCGAAGAGCTCTTCTGACTCGTCCAGCTCATCGTCTTCCTCGTCCTTCGTGGCTGCGGCACCCAGGCTTTGTTTCAAACGTTTCTGAGCATTTTTCAGCGCTGATTGGCTAGAGGTCAGCAGATCTCCCGTCACTGTGGACTACTTTTAGGTATTAAAAGTGTGTTTAATTCGATTTATTTGGTTTAGCTCACCTTGAGACCTGCACAGATCACCACATCACCGGATTGCACAGCGCTGACCTCACGATATTCGTCCGCCAGAGGCTCATATAGCTTGGACACCACCTCCGCCTGACCGCGAGCGGAAATCAAACGCATGCCTCGCTTAATTTCGCCCCTTAGAATCCGCACCAGGGTCAAAGGACCGCGTTGCTTGTCGTGGACAATCTTAAAGACCTTGCCAGCCACTTCTGTGCTGCACAAAAGTTATAAATTTCAAAATGAAAGGATTACTCATTACTTTTACTAGACTCCTACCCAAAACAGTCGTAGATTTGGTTGCGTTCCTCGGGAGCAGGAAGATAGGCATTTACGGCATCCATCAACCGCTGAATGCCAACGTTTTTGTAGGCAGATCCCAGCAGCACGGGCACAACTTTCTGCTGACCGGTTGCCCGACGAAGAGCCCTTTGGATTAAAGCATTATCCACCTGGTCAAAGCTCTCTGTGCTGATGACCACGTCGGCCAGTTCGTCATCCAATCCCGACAGCTGGTCGATCAGTTCGTTGCGCTTTTCCTGCAGCTGCCGCAAGTCATCTGAGGGTTCTAGTTTGGTATTTTTGTAGCTTCTTCCCAAGTCCTTTTGTTGCCAGCTTAACCGCTCCAGGGTGATTACATCATTGATGGCTAAATGATTATTATGATTAATATCTCTTTGGAGAATTCTAATAACAAGTTATTACCCAATACTCCTTGTTCGTTTTTCACAGGATACTGCAGGCAAACGGGCTGCGTTTCTAGCTTATCCTTCAGATCGCTGACGCACTTTTCAAAGTCTGCATCCGGACGATCCATCTTGTTGACGAATATCAGACGTGGCAGCTTGTGCTTGTCCGCCTGGGACCAAACAGTGACTGTTTGGGCCTCCACGCCGGCGGTGCCGTCCAGAACCACGACCACTCCGTCCACGGCGTACAGGGATTGCTCCACCTCCATGGTGAAGTCAATGTGGCCGGGTGTGTCTAGCAAATTGATCCTGGATTTAAGGGGGTTGCAAGTTAGGAGGAGACGGCGGAGGAGTAGGAACAGAGATGCCTACCGGTGGTCATTCCAGGGAAACGTAACCGCCGAACTGCAGATGGTGATGCCCCTTTCCCGCTCCTGGGTTAGGTAATCGGTCACCGTATTCCCGCGATGCACTTCCCCCAGAGCCCGGGTCTTCCCCGCATAGAACAGCATCCGTTCCGTGGTCGTTGTTTTGCCTAAAGTGGGTTTATTTACCAGGTGAAGTTCAGTGCAAAAGGGTATTTAGCTCAATTTGCTCACCTGCATCGATGTGCGCCAGTATTCCTATGTTCCTGATCTTGCTGCTGTAGCTGCGCTTCCAGTTTGGATTAGGAAGGTGCAGGAGGAGTCTATTGCTTTGATTCCGACCGGTTTGCAATGCATATTTCAGCATTTTAATTGATAAATTAATAAATCAAAAGAACGCTGCAAAAATAAACCACCTCCGGCAGCTGTTAGCCCGGCAATCGTTATCGATAAAGTCCGCTAACAGCTGTTGCTGCCAATCGAATATTTGAGAATTTGCGGCTTGAACTAGGGCACAAATTTTTGTTTAATAACCGTTTTAAAGTGTATTTTGCAAATTTAACCACAAAAACTGATATTGTGTCTATAGATAAGCACTTAAGAATACATTTTCCAAAGTCTCAGCCTTTTAGGTGCGAGAATAAAGCCACAAACTCAGTTTGAAGTAGACCTTTGTCTTGTGAACCCCAGTTTTACTGACCTGTTGATATATTCAAAATGTCCACAAGACCCCGACGCGCTGCAGCCACCAAGAAGCTGGTAATCGAGCTCTCCGACTCGGATGAGGAACTCAATCTTACTGGGAACGATGATTACAGGCCGCCGGAGACCAAGAGCCGCAGGATAGATCGCGCTGCAAATGCCCTGGCTGGCGGGTAAGCAATGTCCCTATTATCCCGATAAGGATCCCATTATTACCTTAATCTTCTCCAGCACCAAGCGCCAGCGATGGCCCACAGCCAAGAATGCAGCGCCTGAGGCAGCAGCTCCCAAGAGGAAGCGGGCCAGAAAGGAAAAAGAAGACGAGAATGCTTGTCCCAATGAGACCAATCCGGAACCGGAAGTCCAGGACGCACCGTCAACTTCGAGCCGTCGAAAAGGACCTGTAGCTAGCTCCTCCTCCGAAGCTCCGGCTCCCAAGAGAAAGCATGCCAGAAAGGAAAAAGAAGACGACAATGATTGTGATAATGAGAACAATCCAGAGCAGGAGAATGCCCCACCAGCTATGACCCAACCAGATGGACCTGCAGCCAGCTCCACCACCGGACGGAGCTCCTTCTGGGAGCGCCGGAAGGTGTGGAACATCCATGAGCTTCTAGCCGAAACGGAGAACATTCAGCCGCAGGCAGCGCGGAATATTGTGCAGCTCTTTGAGAACGAAAACACCATTCCTTTCATATGTCGGTATGTCTCGTAATCCATGTGTCTATAAACTACCTCTCAATTGATGATTACTACAGGTACCGCCGAGATCTGGTGGATCACATAGCTCCCGATCGCCTGCGAGACATTCGCAACACGTATACAGAGATCGTGGATCTGCGCAAGAAGGCCGAGAACATCGTCAGTCAGTTGGAGCGCGAAAACGTGCTAAATACGGAAATTCGCGAGGAGCTGATGTGCGCCAAGACCAACGAGGAGTTGGAGTTCCTGTACGCTCCTTACAAGCCGGCCAGCAAGGGCACTTTGGCGGAACGGGCCAAAGCTTTGGGCCTGGAGGAATACGCCGACCGATTGCTCTACGGCACAGCCCCAAAAGTGAGTCTCTCGGAAATTGTGGATCCCGGAAACGAGGACTTGGCCACGGAAGCATCGGTGATGAGTGGAATCTGCAACATTATTATACACAACATTAGCAAGAATACAAATGTGTTGGAGGAAATTCGGAGATTGTAAGCAATCCTTTTAATCTGAATGCCAGCATTATTTTAGTTTAAACCCATTCCAGACAAAATGTGCATCGGGTATTCCTCAAGTGCAGCAAGACCAAGGAGTCAAGTTCCAGTAAAGCAAGCAAAAGTAAAGTATCCAGCGGCATTGCAGACAAAAAACTGGACAGCTCAAAGTTTGAGAACTATTTCAACTTCCAGGGAGATATTAAGACCATAAAACCCCATCAAATGTTGGCCATCAATCGTGCGGAGAAGCACAAGTTCCTTTCAGTCAAATTAGAGACAAACGACTACCTTAAACGAGATCTGATGCGCTTCATAACAGATCAGTACATGAACGAAGGACTGCATTATCCTTTGCGAAGGGAGGTGTTTACAAAATCGCTGGAGGAATGCTACTTAAAGAAATGTAAGGAAAATTTCATATTGGAAACTCATAGTGTTTTAATCCATGACTTATTACAGTGCAGCCGCTGATGTGCAGGCAGATTCGGGCTGATTTGAAGGAAAAGGCCCAAAAGGCAGCTATTGATACATTTGCCAAGAACCTGAAGCAACTGCTGCTGATGTCCCCCCTCAAAGGCGAGCGCATTTTGGGCATAGATCCTGGCTACACAAATGGCTGCAAACTGGCGGTTATATCCGAGACGGCCGATGTGCTGGACACGGGAGTTATTTACCCCCATGGTGCCAGGTCCAATAAGCGGGGAGCCGAGCAAAAACTAGTACAGCTTCTATCGGATCACAAGTATATTAATTGTAAATTCGTTTTGCAAACCTAATTATTAATGAAAATGTTTTTGTAAAGCTGCCAAATTATTGCCCTGGGCAATGGAACCGCCTGTCGAGAGACTGAGCACTGGCTAACAGACATGTTCCACTCTGGCATCCTGGACAGCACGAGCATTCGGTACAGCATCGTTAACGAAAACGGCGCTTCTGTTTACTCCTGCAGCGATGTGGCCGCCAAGGAGTTTCCCAAAATGGATACCAACGAAAGGAGTGCAGGTTTGGTCTATAAAATAAGATTGGAAAAATAACTATATCATAAAATTTTAATTTATTTGCAGTATCCATAGCGCGTCGCTTAAACGATCCGCTGAGTGAGTACGTGAAGATAGAACCAAGACACCTGGGAGTTGGCATGTATCAGCACGATGTCTCCGAGAAAATTCTGACAGAATCGCTAAAGAACGTCGTGTCTGAATGTGTCAGCTATGTGGGCGTGGATCTAAATACAGCCAGTTTAAGTGTGCTCAAGTAGGTCTAATCGAAGACTTCTCCATGTCACATATTATCTAAAAATATCCCATAATTTAGGCACATTGCTGGTCTGTCGGAGAAGAAGGCCGAGAAGATCATAGAGTACAGGACGCAAAAGGGACCCTTTCAAACCCGCAAGGATCTGCTCTCGGTGCGAACTATAGGCGAGAAATCCTTTGTCCAGTGCGCCGGCTTTGTGCGCATTGAACCGCTTAGCGTGGGAGGACGACTACAGAACCCATTGGACTGCACTTGGGTGCATCCGGAAAGCTATAAAGTGGCGGAAAGGTGAGTCTAATTCACAAATAAGTTTATTAGTCTACAAACGATACTGAATAGCCTATTATGAGTCACTGGTCTTCTCAGCCGCTTTCACTAGAATCGAGGTATCACTAGATCTATTGACAAAGTCACTGTCACTTCGCATGTGGGCAGCGAAGGACTTTGGGCAATCATAATCGAATTTCTTAATTTGTGTAGTATCATCGCTGGATTCAGGATGCTGACACCAGCATGGAAGATACGGCTTCAGTGGATCCTTCTTGTCGCACCGCTTGCAAGTGCAGTTCTCCATACCGGCCCTCATAAAGCTCTTGAAATCCGACTCCTGGCTCAAAAGTGCCAGATAGTCTTCGATGGAGTGCTCCTTCATCGGGTCCATCAGTTCCGCCCACGTCTTGAGTTTCACAATCACGCCAAAGAAGTACTTGTTTAGGTCTTCGATAATGTTCAACACCGAGTCCAGATCTTTTAGGAACACACTATCTAGGGATCGGTCTAACCTGGCCAGGCGTTTATCCAACTCCTCCTTGGACTCACGCATATCCAGAAAGGATTTGGACAAATCGGTACTAAAGGATTACAAATTAGCGTGGCATTGGATCTAGCTTTCACTTACTTGGATTGATTAACGAGATTGTAGGCCCTCTGAAACTCGCAGAGTTCCCGTTCCTCGGTCATCCGGCTGAGATACTCGGGATAGATCTTGGTGCATCCAGTAGAGCCGACCAAAATGCGGTAGCGCACTCCATGGTACCGCATCTCCTCAACCTTCTCGATCTGCAAGGGTTTGGCCTTCTCCAGCTGATTCCTCAGCTTCTTCAGTTTCCGATCAACGACTAGAATTTGGTCGTGCACGCACTGCTCCAGCTTAAAGTCGTACCGCGTGTAGATGTTCCCGCAATGCGCGAAGGTGGGTTTCAGCAAATGAATGGGAATGGTCGATCCGCGGCATGGCGGCGGCAGAGGGCGACGCTTGTACCGCTCCGGTGGATACTCCCAGCAAACGCCGAAGAGAGCCTGGTTCTGCACGTTGAGCGGATGCTGCCAGCATGGCGTATACGTTGGCTTATCGTTGTGGCCGTAGAAGGGCACCTTTCCACAGGCAACGTACTTCACCTTGACCGGCGGAGGCTTCGGCGGATAATGCCAGCGCTCCTCATATTGCCGCTTCAGATCGGCGATCATAACGATTTTAAATTTTAAATTTTAAATTGTTTTATCTAAATCTTGCTGTGCTTTCAGTATCGTGGGAGAATGTGACTTGAAGCTGTCAGATGTAGGAAAGGCTGGCTTTATAGCCGGCATCAAGAAGTTTGCCGAGTCCCAATCGAAACTCGATCGCATAGCCAAGCAACACAAGCTTCCCATGGAAAGGGTAAGGCATATACATAATTATATCCATTATCTCAATTATTAAGAAATTTGTTTTTGCTGTTTCAGTTGGAGTTTCTGCTGGTTGCCCTGCAGCGTGAGTTGCTTCAAGATTATCGAGCTGACCTGGACAAGCGGCCATTATTTAAACAAGGCCTAACAAGGCTAGATGATCTCAGCATGGGCGATGTAGTTACTGGTGAGTGAGGGATATGATAACAGTTTTAAGAACGTAACTCATAAAAACTTCAAAATTTCAGGTGCTGTGACCAACGTTACCCAGTTTGGCGCTTTCGTGGACGTCGGCGTGGAACGCGATGGTCTCATACACAAGAGTCACATGAATAACAGCGAGCTGAGCATCGGCGATCGCATTGTGGCATCGGTGGTAAAGGTGGATCTGCAGCGACGCCAGCTGGGATTGCGTTTGGAGAATATGCTGGTGGAGACGGACACGTCGTTCACTTTCAAGACGGAGGATTAAAGACAAAACTGCAGGGATTTAATGCTTTCGGAAGTATTTAATGATTCATATCGTAATTGTTTGGTTGCTCACATGAGCATTCATATATACTATATATAGTTCATATATATATGTGTATATGCATAGTATAACGGCTTTCCTAAGTTTACTCAAAGCTTATCAGTTAGTAATAAATGTTCACATAAAAATCACCGTCTCCACGTTCGTCATCTTGTTTCCCTTCTCGCCATTTGTTTGCAAGTTTTCTTAAATGAATGCTCGTGTGAATTGTTATCGAAAGGGAGGGTATTGCTTTAAAAACTAAGTGATGCCCTCGTAAGCCAGTTAAAATGTTTGACTAAATAAATATACAATATGCATACATTTAGGCGCTTGGTTTGCAGGCAAAGCAACTTTGCTTTCACTTTTCAGTTAGTTTGTATTTTCGAATTTATTGCCGTTTCAGTAGAATTGTTAAAAATTAATATAAACAATGTTATATAATCTGCATTTACATAATTACACAATACAATAATTATAATATATTCAAAAATATATGATGTATTTAAATTTATTGATTCCTCCTTCTCTCATTCTATCAGTAATCGATATCAATTTCATATTCTAGCTACATGGACATGTCGCGTAATCAACCGATAAGTGTTTAAATAAATATATTAATCCGTACATAATATTAGAGTAAGTGTACCTACACAGATAATGTGATAATGTATCGCAAAAGACCAAAAACAAGTCGTACATGGTATGGTAGTAATTGCTTAGGTTTAATGCTAATGCTCTTGTCCTCGTTCTCATTGTGTTATTATTGTTACGGCCGATGTTCTCCATCTTCTAGTTGCGTAGAGATATTGTTCAATAATTTATAATTTATTTTTATCATTTATAATGATAGCATAGGTAATGATGTAAGTATTGTTTATCAACTCTTGTAATAATAAGTCTATGTGTATAAGCAGTATTCATTCTCGCTCCTAAACAGCCGTCCAGCAGAATCTTTGGCGAAGCAAATGTGAACGGCAATCCAAAATTCAAATTCGAATCGAATATATCGCGTAGCTTTAAATCAGGTGAAACCGATTTCGAGTACCCTCTTTCGGATAAGTAGATTTATACTTAAGAATTCGAGATAGTGCCGATATATTCTGATGAACGACCTTCAAACGTAAAACTTTCCCTCGTTAATAATCGTGTTGGTAGTCGGTAGTCTAATTATCTCAAATGATCTCCCCTTTTGGCCCTTGACGGGGGTCTCAAGTAATTGAAAGTGCACAAATTCCGAATTTCTTCTGTGGCAGACACGGCACAGCCGCAACGCTTGGGTGTAAGTGGGTGGGTGGTGGAGTAAGTGGTGACGTAAGTGGTGCTGAGTATGCGAGTGGGTGAGTGTTTCTGTGGATCTGATCTGATCTGTATTCCCGGCGCAGGGCAGCGTGGCATTTCGGAGTATTCTATTCAAATTCATTCAATCGCCTGCTTCTCTGGTGGGGAGAGAAAAGATAAGTTACTTGCTTAGCTCGAATCGCTGGCAATTTCAATCTGGACTTGGCACTTACCGATGGCCGGAATTGGCGGGGATTGTGGTGAAGGTGTGTGTGTTGGTATGCGAGTTTTGAAATGATCGAAATCAAGAGCGAAACAAAACGTAATTATTTCTTTTTCTTCTCTTTTCTGCAAGTGTAGAACGGTAAGCGAGGTTAGCAATCGTGATTGGAAACAAAAAAACGGGGTGTCAGATGGTGGATATTCGTTTGGGTTCGCACTAAGCCAAGCTAGACACTGAGAAGTTAACAATTAACATTGAGATTTGGCCTCGGCCTGCTCACATTTATAAGACAGGCGGTCAGTACGGGTCGGGGCATTTACAAGGAGCACCTCTTGGAGTGGATCACTAGCCTCTGGAGTGGTGCTTCGTGTGCTGTGGCTGTCTGACTGATGCTGATGCTAAATCTTGGCAAGAGACTAAGTTGGTTAATGGCTTTTCGAATGGATCAAGTGCCGCCAGAGGGGGCTACAGCAGCAGAAGACATCGAACCATCTGTAAGATTGAAGAATTCTTCCATTTGGGTTTTGCTTTTCACTTGTGGATCGAAGTAACGTAGCGTTTGAACGGGTAAAACGGAATGGCAACGGGCAACGAGCAACGGCAACTGCTTTGGGTTCACCTAGGGATCGGGGTCACCAAATGTCGTCGGGGGGTTAGCATGAGTCGTATATATGGTACATCGGTGCAACCACCAGCAATTAGTGTAGGTGTAGTGTGTATAGGATGGCTTAATTGATTCTGATTCTACTTAAAATTGTATCTCTATCGGCTGGATGTGTGCGGGTTTGTAAAACGTGTACAATGCTATTTTCCGTTTGTGATTATGTTGTTTGCATGTATATTTAGAATGCCTCTAGCTTAGGTTTGCTACTAATGAACCACATTTGTGTTTTCTACAGTTCTTCGTTCAATTTCGTTTCTAAACATCATTTTCTTTTTGTATAATATATATATAACGCCAAAACTTTGGATTACTACAAGTGCTACAAAAAACGGGCTTCTATAGTTAACTCTAACTAGTTCTTGACCTTCAATCCTTTCAAACTGTTTTCTAAATTCCTAATTATCGATTACGAATTGTTCATTGAGTTTTCACAGCATGTTGTGTGGTTGTGGTTGCATCCAAAACAAAACCATTATTCACATAAGAACTAATTACATTAGGGGTCTCTGTCTCCTCGTGGTTTTAATTGCCTACGCGCAACACTTAAGTCTGGATTCAGTTATTGTTTTATACGTATCGTAGTTAAAACTAGTCAAAATTAAAGCTTGTACTTGTGGGGATGTGGCAATATGAGGCGGGCGAAATGCAAAACGAAAGGAACGCACACGAAATATATTTACACAATTAAACAAACGGATTAGGGGAGAACAGTGGTAACAGCACAGTAATGCCAGCAACACAACAGAACACCGCAGCAAACGGAGTCCCAGAATAGCTTGCGCCAACCCACATTGGACGACACTGAGATCCTGGGCGCGAAACTGCGGAACGAACAACACAACAGTAAGGAAATAATCTCGGGGAAAGCTCAACACAAAATAACAACGAAAGCGGAAGGAACAGAACATATAGCTAAAGACATGAACAGAATATAACGAATGGATCGGAGCGATCGCTTAAACCACACAAGCTGAGAAAACTCCCATTACGCGTCAGCCAATGTCCTGCTGCACATGGCCGGAGGACGAGGAGCTGCTGCCGCTGGGGCGTTGCTGCTGACTGTACCTGTTCGTTGGCTGTTGCTGCTGCTCCTTCGGCTGATCCTTCTGGTTAATACTTTGCGGCGTGGGTTGTGGCGTGCAGGCAGTGGTGCCACTGCCCACTGGGAATGTGTCGGCCTCCTCCTCGTGCGCCGCCGGAGTCGGCTGAAGGGCCTGCAACTCCAGCTGCTGCTGGTCTGACAGCATCTTGGCGCTCAGGATGCTCACATAGGTGCGGTAGCGCCTCAGCTGTAAAACAAAAAGTTGCTTAATTTATATTCAGTTTGAAAAGGCTTGAGTTTAAGCTTACTTCGTACTGCAGGTAGCTCTCCTTCTCCTTGTAGTTCTGCAGAGCCAAACCTTTGCTGGGAATCGGACCCTTCTTGTGCTCGTTGAGCTCCTGATCCAACTGGGCCAGCTGCACCTCGTGCGAATCTAACTGCTCCTTCTGTAAGACAATAATAACATTAACAAGGAATCGTAGATTAAACTATCTTTCTGTACTCACCAGCAACAGCTTGGACTGTTTGCTGGGCAAGAGCGGACGCTGGAACCGCTTCTGGCTGCCCACGCCGCCCTCGAGCGGAGGCGCTGATATAGCCGCGCACACGTAGTTGATCGTCTCAACCCACGACTGCAGCTCCTTGGAGTCGCTGGTCTGGAACAGATACTCGGCCTGGTCGGCCGTCTGCAGGCGGAACACATGTTGCTTCTTGGTGTAATCGTTGGCCTTGGTGGCCAGTGCGTGATGTATGCGTATTGCATTGTGCAGATTGTCGGACATCTGTGTATAGAGTTGGTAGTTATTAGATGTTCTAACTTTAAAAGTGAATTTTACTCACTTGACTTTTGCGAAAACCGTGCTCATCCTTATGCAAATACAGCACAAGATCACGCAGCGTGCAGTAGAACATTTTCCAGGAGCGCTTGCCAAAGGGAGCTGCAACAAAGGATATTGATAAATATATATATATTCATTACAGCTAAATTTTGTATCTCACTTTTCTTAAAGCTGCTGTCGTAGCAGCATTTACGCATCACATAGCCTTTTTTGTACTCCACTGCAGTGGCCAGTTCCGGGGGATCGAGGAAGGGATTCTGTCCCACATTCCCCAGGGCACTATTGTTGGCTCTTTGCTGCTGCAGATCACCAGCCTCTTCATCTCTGGAATAATTAATCAAGTATAATATGAGTATAAAAAGAGATTAAATGCATTTTATATTCCACTTACAGTGCCCACTCCAGCGGCTTGGTTTTAATGGCCTGGTATAGCGACTTGAGCACATCCTTGGGAAAGTTCTCGCCATCGTTGAGATCTGCCAGGTTGTCGACGAACTCCGCACAGCTCATCTTGCGATTCATGTTCTGGCCATGGAGGTCCGTATTCAGCAGCATTATGGCACAGGTCAGCGTGTGCACGGCGTCCTGCGAGTTGAAGGTGCCGGGATTGCAGTCGAGAAAGCGCTTGGAAAAATGCACCAGCACTCGCTCGCGTTCCTGCGTTTCGCCGGACAATGAGAACTGCTGCAGGAACTCACGCAACGCTTGGTCCAGTGACTTTTTCTCGAAGGTAAAATGCTTGAGATACTCATCGGCCACCGCTCGACTGAAGTCATTGCTATAAGTGGGAAAAAATATATAGTTTAGTAATTGTTTGCAATTAGTTGCACATTTCTCACTTTTTGCTGAGGTGTCGCGACACATCACTCTTCTTGAAACCGTCGAGGGAGTACAGTCTTTTGGCCAGCCGAATGGCCGAGGGCATGTCCACAGCCTTGGGGGAGTAGTGATACGAGTGGAGGGACTCCACATCGCTGCCATCGTCTGAAACGGGCGGCGAGGCGTCCCGCACTCCAATGGCCATCGTGCCCAGCGGTTCCTCCGTCAGCGTGACCACATCCTCTTCGGAGCGGCCGTTGGCGTTGCCATTGCCGCCGCTGCTGCTGTTGCTGTCCAGTCCACGCACTTGGATGACCACCTTGTGCTCGGACTGCTCCCGATCCCGATCACGATCGCGATCCCTCTCCCGTTCCCTGTCCCTCTGCTGTTGCTGCTGGGCGCGCAACTGCTGCTTGAGCTGCTGGCGCTGCTGGGCGGCTGCGTCCGAGACGAGAATGGTAGAGTCCGAGTCACTGGGATCGCTAAGTACCATGCCGCCTAGAATATCGCGAGAGCTTAATAAGTTATCGTCGTCTTGGTAGTCGGGACTAGATATATTCGAAATGGCCTCTGAGACGCTCTGATCGTTGTTGCCACCACCACCACCACCAGCACCACCGATGCCTCCGCCTGGGCAGCTCAGCAGACCAGGAATACCGCTGGGCGGATGCCGCTGCTGCTGCTGCTGTTGTTGCTGAGCGGCGGCCATGGGACCATTGCTGCTGCTGCCCAGGCCCAGGGCGCCCTTGGAGCCCGACGAGGACATCACCGACGAGGAAACCGACGTGGGCGAGGCCGGACTGCCCACAGCCGATTGCTGGGGCGACGAACTAATGGAACTTGAATGTGAATTTGAATGCGATTGCTGACCGTAGAGTTGCTGCTGCTGCTGCTGTTGCTGCTGTAGCTGCTGCTGATGTTGCTGCTGGAGTTGCTGTTGTTGCTGCTGGAATTGCTGCTCTTGCTGTTGCTGCTGTCGCTGAAGGGCCGCCAATTGGTGCGGCTGGAGTGGCGCATTATAGGTCCACACGATCCGATCGCGATCCGATGCCTAGGATTTGCAACAAACCAGAGATTAGTGATATGGAAATAACAAGGATTAATCGATATTATATGCTCTATGGTTTTTTAGTCAGATCTCGAATTTCCATTTGCCGTTGCCCAATCTCTCTGAGGAGTCCTAAACAATTTTCCGAGTGCTGGAAGCGTTCGGTGTCTGTGTCAGAAACTTGGGTGTTATGCATTTGGTTCGTGTGTTGTGTGTCTTTGCGTTTTGGACAAGCGTTTGGTGTCGAGAGGTTCTCATCTTCTACATACAAAACTTTTCCAAGCGCAGGCAAGAAATCAAAAGTGGCAAAATCGAAACGAAATCAAAATCAAAAGTCACATTAATCAGCATGCCAACTATGCAAATGGCAACCTTTTTGCATAAAATATAGTTTAATTTGCTGCTGCAGTTCATCGTTCTCGTTGATGTTGCAGCCGTGATTGTTGCAGTTGCAGTTGCAGATGTTGCTGGTTCGCTGGTGTTGCTGTTGCAGTTATTGTTGTCGCTGGCGCTGCTTCTGCTGCTACTGCTGCTGCGGTTGTCGTTCTGCTCACCCTCGTTGTTGTTCGAGGCCGCTGACGAGTTGTTTACAATTACAGTGGCCATCGACTAGAAAGCTCACGGGGGACAAGAAATTGCGCATATCAAATCGATTCGAGAAGAGTCAAAGTAGGAAACAGAGAAACGAGAGAACGAAAGAAGAAAGAAATACGAAACAAGAGAGTAAGATAGACAGAGAGTTGTTTAGTAGTAAGTAATTAAGTTAAGTTAAGTTAAGTTAAGTAGGAAAGTTCAAAGTAACAAGTGAGCAAGAAAAACAGTGGGTTTGGGTATAGGTAAAGGTCTAGGGATGATATGAATGGCTTATAGAACAATGCATTGGCTAACACACACGCAAACACATAGGTATATACTATATAGACAACAGACTACAGAAACCAGTTAACGAAAACCGTACTCTACAAAAGCACTTGTAACTCATCAACTACGAGTGTCGAGTGTTTTCTGGGGAAGATCTGGCGGAAGGAAAATTCGACTGTTCGCTGTCTATCCGGTGGACTATCCTGCATGGGAGTGGAAGTGCCTAAGCCCGGCGACGCCTCACCTGCGAGTCCTCCGAGTCCTGACGCGTGTCCAGCAGCGTGTTCAGCGAGCTATTCACATCCTCATCGATATCGATGGGTATCACGGCGGCGATGCCCTCGCGCTGGATCTGCTGCAGATGGTCCTCGGACTTGCTGGTGCGGAAACCAGCGGCATCGCACTTACGCACCACATGCCCATTGTGCCGGCGCACCACCACCGCTCCAGCGCCACCGCCGCTGCTCGATTCCGGGACAAGGGAACTGGGCTCCGGGCTGGTGGGCACCGAGTTGGCCGTCTCCTTGTCGATCAGCGGCGTCGACAGCGAGATCGGTGAGGTTGGCACTGAGAAGGAGGTCTCGTCCAGGCCCAAACCGGCCGCCTCGCTCTTCACGGTGGTGGACGATGAACCCGATCCCGAGCGTCCGGCGCAGTCGACGGCATCTCGATTTCGCTGCTGCTGGCGGGTGGCAGTCCTTTGCTTAAGCGCCCTTAATCTCTGCTTCGCCGAACCGGAACCCAGCGAATTGGTCGAGTAATCCTCGTCGCCGGCATCGTTCTCCTCGTCGTCGTAGGCATCATCATCATCATCCTCGTCGTCGTCCACCAAACACTGCCTATCGCTGTCGTCCTCGTCTCCGCGGCCCAGGCCACTCTGGTAGGTCTCGATATTGGTGATGTCGTAGTGCGTCTGATCCTCCTCGCGCTCCTCCTCCACCTCCTCCTCCTGCTCCTCCAGCTCGTCCTCGTTTTGGTAGTACTCGTAGCGTTGCTGACGGAAGCGATGCTGCTGTTGCCGCTGTCGCTGCTGCTTATTGTCCTCTTCCAGGACGTATTCGCCCTCCTCGTCCGGCTCCAGCTCCTCGCACATCAGCAGCGTGTCGTTGGTCAGCGAATCCTTGCGGTTGTAGCTGTTGTTGATGCTGTCCCGCTGCTGCTGCTGCTGTTGATGAGGTTGCTGTTGCTGCTGCTGTTGCTGTTGTTTCCGCAGCAACTTTGCCTCGCGCTTCACCGAATCCGAGCTGGTGTTGGTGGGCGAGTCCACCGAGGAGGAGGAAGTGGGCGAGGATTCACCGGAGGCACGGGGTGCTAAAGCACCATTAATCCGCGCGTTTACCAGGCGACTGGGCGAATCCCGGAGGCTGTCCACCTGCAAAAAAAAAGAATTTGTATTATTGGTTTTAATCAGGGACCGTAATCATTATAAGGAAAAAATAATAATCTCCATTTAATGATTATTTTGGAAGGGAAAAAAATATCGCTGAAAAATAATGTTATTATTTTGCTTAAACATATCACTCAAAGTGCTATTGCAGCCGTTCTGTACGGAATTTTACAAAGTTTTAAATTTGTGCTTGTAGGTAGAACAACGGAGCATATATCCAGTTAATAAAAGAAGGTGATTTCTTTGATTTTAAAACGCGCTTTTTAGATTACAAGAGAAATGCATAAATACAAAAAGTTGTATCAACCTTAGGACTTTGTCATTAATATATTAGTAAAACGACTTAACAAGATGTTATGAACTATTCCACTTAGATCCAACTCGGTTTATACAAAAATATATTTTTTCTTAACTGGATATATGCTCCGTGGTTTTACCTACAAGAGCACATTTAAATCTTTGTAAAATTCCGCGTAGGACGGCTGCGATCTAACTTTGAGTGATATTTCTAAGCAAAATGATATCGCTCACAAAATAATCATTATTTCTGAGCGCTATTTTTTCGCTTGCAAAATAATCATTAAATGGAGATTTTTATTTTTTACTCAAAAAAAATTATCATTATTTTCGGTCTCTGGTTTTAATTGATTTTAGAAGTCTCTTACCTTCTTGGTCTGCGCGGGCAGAGGATTGCTGGTCTGCGGTGTCCGGGACAGATTGAGAATCAAATCACCGGTCATCATATAAGCCTCAAAGCGTGGCGCCTTCGCCGGCTGCGGTGGCGCCGAGTTCGGTTCCGGCTCCCGATCCCGCTCCTGCTCCCTGTCCGTGAAGCGCTGCCGGGTCACCGGACTGCCGCTGTAGCTGTTCGAGTGCTGCAGCGACTGGGGAGGCAGCTGGGCGGCGTGTCCGTTCCCGTTGCCGTTCGACGCCTTCGTCGGGATCTGCGAGGGGCGTGGCCGCTTATTCTGCGGCGAATGGAGAACGGGCACGGGCTTGGGTACGGCACATTTGGTCAGCGCCTGTGGAATGCGTGAGGGGCGAAAGGTGGGCGAGGTGGCCTCCCCACCACCACCACCATTACCACCCGCACTGCCGGTGGGTGACGCGAGTCCCACTATGCCCGTGGTCGAGGTGGTGATGCTCGTCTCCACCACCTTGATCTTGGTGGAGCTGGCCGAGGAGTTCCGACTGTGGGTGTGCGTGTGCGTGGCGGTGGTCGTGGTCGTGGTGGATCCACTCGCCAGCAGCGGCGACGAATTCTGGCGCAGCGAGGGCAAGTGCGTGGGCGACTTGTACGAACGCAGTCCGCTTTGAGAGGGCGCGGTCGCCGCCCCCTTGCCGCCGGCGTTTGGCCGGTGATTCGGCGAGGAGTTGGTGCTGTTGCTGTGGTAGTCGTAGATGTTCGGCGACTCAATGTCCACATAGTGCGGACTCTGCGTGTTGGCCAGCTGCTCTTTGATCCGCGCCTTGAGCTTGGGATCTGGGGAGAGAAAATTGTATTATTTTATCTTTTAAATTATGTGTTTCTAAGATGCAAACCAATTAAATGTAATTTTGGTCAGTTTAAAAATGTTCTAAAACCAATAATAATGAAAAAAATGTATATGAAAACATTCATAATGCATTTGTATTATTTTATAAATCCAAAGAAATATTCAAATATAATATTCTTTTTATATTTAATGTTATTAAATTCCTAGTTTAAAAAATTCAAAAATATAATACGTAGATATTTTAGATTACCTACTAATTTTGGTAAATCATATTTACATCCATTTACATTAAAAAAAAACAAGAGAGAACGCTATAGTCGGGTGCCCCGACTATCAGATACCCGTTACTCAGCTAAAGGGAGTGCGAAGGAGATGGAGAAAAACTTTGATCCGCCGTAACTTTTTAACGAATGGTCCGATTTAAAAAATTTCTTCTACATTTCGATAGGTATTGATAAACACAATAAAACTGCATTTTTACTTTTCCAAAATATTGAAATTTTTAAAATCGTATATAAGCGATTGTGGGCGTTAGAGGGGGCGTGGTACCCTTTTGAAACAAACTTGCGCTGCGTAGGAACTCCTAGAATCTGCATGCAAAATGTCAATCTTCTAGCTTTTATAGTTTCCGAGATCTCAGCGTTCATACAGACAGACAGACGGACAGACAGTCAGACGGACAGACGGACATGGCTAGATCGACTCGGCTAGTGATCCCGATCAAGAATATATATAGTTTATAGGGTCGGAAACGCTTCCTTCTACCTGTTACATACTTTTGCACGAATCTAATATACCCTTTTACTCTACGAGTAACGGGTATAAAAATCCTGGACATTGGCAAAGCGGTTTAGTTCAGTTCAGTTCGGTTTTCAATTCTGTTTTAAAAAATGAAAACTCAAATATAATATTCTTTTTCTAGGTAATATTATACAATTCCTAGTTTAGAAAATGCAATAATATTATACCTACAAACATTGGTAAATCATATTTACATACATTAAAAAAAAACTAAAAAATCCTAGACATTGACAGAGCGGTTCGGTTCGGTTCAGTTTGGTTTGGTTTGGTTCAGTTCGGTTTGGTTCGAAACCAGTTTGCATCCTTGAAGATTGATATACATTTCCACCTACCTCGCTTCAGCTCCAAGGTCACCAGCTGTTCCGACAGGCGCAGGCATTTGAGAACTGTTTAAGAAAATATGTTTTCGTTAATTATTAACAGCTTTCTCCCACCATAATCCATGGACACTCACCTTCCTTCGTTGTGTAGCGATGGACATCCGTACCGTTGACTTTGAGGATGACATCCCCGGCCTCAACCTGCAACGGGAAAAAAAAAAGAAGAAGGCACATTTAGCAGGCAAATCACTGGCAGCAATGCCCCTCGATTATATTGACAACGCAAAGCCTATTGATTTTCCTTCGGCTCGAGTTGGCTTTGTTATTATTATTCGCATGTTAGGCATAGCCAAACCCCGCCTGTCGGCACTTGTAAACTATTTTTAATTTTCTTCTCGATGGGCCTTCGCTGGGAAGCGCGTGGAAATGCGGAAAGTGCGGAAAGTGCGGAGGGAAAACAGCATGAAATCACAACGTGGGACGACATTGGCGCCTTATTTACTTGCTGACGTACGACGGACGAGCACAAGAGCTTTTCGGTTTTCGGTGTCCGTATCCGGGGTTGAGTGGTACGTGGAACCTTCACCTCCTCCGGATGGCACTCATAGATTATTCAATAAATATTCTATGCTACGTCTAGCTAGGCGTAGATTTTTGGATACGCGACACGCGCCTTGGGATTCATGGAAAATGCACAAGAAGCACAAATTACCTTTATACTATTATTGCATAATTAGTTCCAGGGGCTTCCTGACTTCGGCCGGGCTTTTATTATTAATGCACAGGATGGTCTATACAATATATGTTGAAGGAAGTTGGTGGTGCGTGTGTGCTTCCTTCGGAGACACTTGACGCGAATTGCGGCGGGAGGCAATTAAAACTAAAAGTCGCACTAATTTATGCTCTCACTTTATCGCTGGGGGAGCCACGATTTCTGTGTCTGCACGAGAGAGGTCTGCATGTGGCCAAGAGAGCGAGAAATGGGGGGATAACTAGGCTAAGAGAGAGCGGAAAAGAGAACTTTGCAGCCAGAGAGAGAGAGTGGGTGCCCCATACTACTGCCGCTTTTGCCGCGGGCGGCAATGCAATTCAATTAAAACTGTGTTTAAATTAATTGTGCCAACCCAAAAATGTCGACAAGCGAAGGAGTTACATAACATTCAAGCCACCCGGGCCATCCAATCCACCCCCTGGTGCAATTTCTAGGCGAGAAAGAAAAGAAAGTCAAACCCGTAATGCAAATTTGATGTTTTCCCCGTGGCAGCATCTGCATAACACGACAAAGGAACTCCACTCTCGGCCACTTGGGAAACGTGTTCGCCTCTTTTGATAACAAGCCGCGATTAATGGCCCACAGCGCCGAGGAAGCTCTTGCAGATTCGATTAGGCACTTTAAAACCGCCAGCAGCAGGTGCATACAAACATACGGGGAGGCCCATCAAAGAAATTGCCTTAGCATTTCACTTTCACGCTCCGGAGGGGAGCAGCGAACGATAGCAACAAGATACGATTACAGTGGGACCCCTGTAACCTAAACTATGTCTGGAGAAACTCTAATTAGTTATTTGCACAAATACATTGGTATTTGATAAGCATGGTCACTTTAAAAATAAGTTTGTAATTGGTCACACTTTTGACACAGTAGTCTTTATATTTTTAAAGAACTGCAGCTATTAGGGAAACCTATTTAAATATGTATATCCCACAAGCTTTAAAGAAAATCCCATATTAAATATAAAAAATATATATATTTTATTTTATTACTTTACATACTAAAGATACAAATATTCTTCTTAAGCAGGCTCCCCTGTATACTGAGATAGTGGGCCCCCCGGGGCCAAAGTTGCTGAGTCGGGCAGGCAGTCAAGCTAGTCAAGCAACCCAACAACCAGCAGGCTGCACAGTTAAAAGTTAAATCAATCAGTTACACTCGGCTGCCGCTCTGTCCCCTATTTTTACCCCTGGACCCCCACCCCCTCCCTGACTTGCATTTAACCCCTCTTCTTCTGCACCACTGGCTGCTCAAATTGAAATTGGTTCGAATTGATTTGTTTTCACATCCAACGACACCAATGACAATCGAGGAGAGCCTCTCCTGCATTTCTTACGACCCATCCAATTCTATTCGTATTTGGTCTGGTCGGAAGTCGTCTTGTTTGCTATCCGCAATGTCATGCCCCTATTCCGAAAGGAAAACAAAGTCAACTGGGCGTTGAGATGCCACAAGACCACAAGAGGATAAGCTGCACTTTGGGGGAGAGAAAAGAAAGCATCTCAGAGATGGTTCTGCAATGATATAAAAGTTATAGGGGATGGCTTAAATTGGATTATTTTTTCATGTGCATAAAGTTAGCAATGCAACTTTTGAAAAGGCAAATTTTTTTCTATCGACAATTTGCCGTTATTTATCCGTAAATTATTCGTGAAAGAAAAAAATTTGCCGCTCAATTATTTTTAAAATTATGAGATGTTCTGCTAAGTTGATATCAACTTAGCAGAACACCCCACTAAAGTGCAAAATTTCCAAAATCTTTTTTAATGGGAATTTGCCGTTATTTATCCGTAAATGATTCGCGAAAGAAAAAATTTTGTTGCTCTTGCAAAATTTTTTCTTTCGCGAATCATTTACGGATAAATAACGGCAAATTGCCATTAGAAAAGATTTTGGAAATTTTGAACTTTAGTGGCGGTGTTCTGCTAAGTTGATATCAACTTAGCAGAACATCTCATAATTTTAAAAATAATTGAGCGGCAAATTTTTTTCTTTCACGAATAATTTACGGATAAATAACGGCAAATTGTCGATAGAAAAAAATTTGCCTTTTCAAAAGTTGCATTGCTAACTTTATGCACATTATTTTTTCATTCATGGTTTTCGCATTTACAACGTAAACGAATGCCAAAAACTGATAATTATCTGTTTGCAAGGAAATACATTCTATTCGATTTCTGTATCTTGGGAACCCAAGTTCAATATTTCTAACTTTAAAAGTATGTAACTGGAAAAAGAGTTCACAGAACCCCCTGGTTCCTCCTGGCAATGGAATCCCATGTTTACTCTACAACAAGTGTTTACGGGAATTACCTTCAGGGAATCCGTGCACGACACTAATGCAAATAAAGAACAGCTTATCAGGAAATTCCTAATTCCCAATAATCGCTTGTGGACGCATAAAGGCTGATAAAGCCAGTACCAGATGCAGATACTATTTAGCAGTCACGTCACATTCGGCTTTCAATTACCGAGTACTTGAAGTCTCAAATTAATGCCAAGTGAACAATGGACGTTTTTTTTTTCGGGGGTCTCCTTGTGTATGTTTTGATTTTGGTTCAATGACGGTTTATTGACACGAACTAAACCAATATCAATTAACAATAGCAACAACAACAGCACGCCCACTTGGCTGTGTGGTTGTGTGGGGGTAAACAAGGCAATTGATTGATTGTATTAGCGACTACGACGACCTAGTCACGGTTCCGTGCACTACCTTCACCGTTATACTTTATACGATATACGAATATACGGATGGATGGTCGGTCGTCTGTTGCCGCAGAGTCGTTGACAGACTGCAGTAATGGGAAAACCCACTAACCTCTTTTTCGCCGGAGCCCAGAAAATCAATGTTGGGGCAGGCGGCAGTCAGTCGTCCGCTTTCCACGTGGGCGTCACAAATGACGCACTCAACGGAAAAAATGTTGAGACCCGTAGCGCAAAAGCCGTAGTGTTGATAGACCCACAAGTGGCGAGGTGAGACACTTGGGACCTCTATAGCTATCCATACCTATGGCTCATTCAATTCAACGCCTGTTATTGGACTAATGATTTTGCCACTTCTTGGTCTATTTGCATTCTACACGGCTTCGCTGGCTTTGTTTACCCGTTCTGGCTTTCAGCACGGCACTTAGTGGTATAGGGTTTACACTACACATCAATCACACCCCCTTATTATGGGTGAAACGGAAAAATACGGGAGGCAAGTGGAAAGTTGGCAATTTCACTAATTTGAGCTTCTACTTTTACAATAGAAAATAAAGGAAAGGGAAATTTATAACCCATATTTTTAGATCCCATTAGACCCCAAGAGTATTTAATTCCCTCACCGGCAATTAACGACTTTCAGTTATGGCGCAAAGGGTTCCATTTCTGGCTCAATGCGGCGATATCTCTTATCATGTCTAACTAATAAACATGTGCTTAGCCCGCGGACAATAACAGATCAAATAAAATATAAATAAGAGCACACAAGCCAATACTCCCCCCTCATATCATCATATAGCCCCATGCTCGGTTGCTGTTTTATTTATTTTGACGACCTTGCAGGCACATTCATTGTGGATTTCCTTTCATATTTGCACCAAATAACAAGAGGGGGAGCAACAAATTAGCATGAATTGGTTTATTTCATTATCATGCTCCGGTGGGTGTTGTGTAATCGCGGGAATCGGAAGTCGGTGAATGGTCTGAATGGCGATGGCGATGCGATGCGATGCGATGCGATGCGATAGGATGGAGATGTTATCGCTACGCCGCTTAGCTAAATAATTCCGGGGCTGGGAACCCAACGACCCATTATGTTAATAAAGTGCGAACTTGCACAGAACTATGCCAATGGCTCAACTTGAGATTGTAGATTGAGTGATTCACGCCCTGTCACCACAGATACATACGTTTATATGGCCAAGCTAAACCTTTTTCGATGCGCTCTGTCCGGATTCTGGGGCAGGTTGTTTGCTTAATTTCTAACTGGCTAATTAAAAAGCTTGCCTTTATAACGGACACAGATTTCGCTGAATTTTTGCCCTTTATCTTATATTTTGTGGGGCAAAGTTTAGTAATTGTATCGTAAGAAATTTTGTATGTTGTACATTTTAGTTGCTTTATAAAGTTTGCATGCTGTTTAACAGTTTGTTAATGGGGTACATTTTTTTATTAATATAATAATAATATACTTAAAGACAAATAGTTTTTAATATATTATATTTTTTAAGAAATAACCAATATTTGTGTGTAGCTTTATTCTCTTTAAATTCAACTTGCACTCGCTTCGTCTTGACTTTCAAGGCTGAGTATCGATTGCGTCACGAGCTATTTTTTCGCAAGCTTAAACAAATGTTTAGCCGCTTTATTACCCTCTATTATTTTATGTTTTCTGCATTGTAAATATCCGAAAAATGTGCGCACTTTCCATGCCGGAAAATCG